TACTGCATATAACTATTATTAATAATATTTAGTAGATGTACTTTTTCAGCAGAATAGTTTGATTAGAAGTTAGACAAAACTATTTCAGTTAACAAAGAAGACCAATTCTGTTTTGTTTTTCTATCAGAAGCAATAAGATTTCAGAAGAAGCTACTTAACGAATTCAAAGAATTAACAAGCTGTTAACAAGTATAAGCTGCTTTTGAGTCAATATTACAATTACAATGTAGCCAAAAACTTTCTTTCTCAAAAAAAAAAAGCTAAATGAAATTTCTTTATCAATAGTTAAAAAAATTTATTTATTTCTTCCTTTATTTGCATTAATTTTATTCTTAAACTTAGCTTATTGCACTGAAAAGTATTGAGGTGATTAACACTAAAGCAATAAGAAGTAGATACCTTGTAAAATTGGTTCATTGTTTTTGTCTTCAGAATCAAGAAGGATTCGGCAAACAATAAATATCATCAGGTTTGCAAATAATGTCTAAAGTGTACCCAGCTGTTTCAATTAACATCTGTTAATTCGGTTACATTAAAGTGATTTTCAGTTTGGTCAGCAGAAAATTCTTGTAAACGCTTTATATGACAAAAAATTGAAACCAATTAATTGCTCAATCAAAATAGGTATCATTCTTTTTTTAATTAACTATTAAATAAGTAACTATAGTTTCTACCAAAACGATCCCTGTAATCGTACATGTCCAATTCTTAGGTTTTCCAGGTTCAACTTCTTTAAACATTTTTTTCCAGCTGAATATACTGCCTGTCGTCAATATACAGCCATCTTGAGGGCAACAACATCTATTGTTATTGCGAACCACTTGTCCAGTATCTGAAGCTTCCTCAGCTATAAGTTTCAGCCACAATGTCAACCTGTAATAGTGCTAATTCATATTTTAGTTCGTAACTTTTACATGAATACTTATCATTTGAACAGTATTAAAATTGACTAAATCAGTTACCACTGGTAAACTGTAAAATCTTGCTTAACATTACAGATTATTGCTCATCATCTATGCATCAGTTCAATAAACAGTGACAAAGATAACATTTTGACTTAATTATTTAGTCTTAAAATAAATACAATTCATTGCTACTGTTTTGCTTTATTAAACGTTTAAGAACATTATTAGCGAAATAAGCATTCACTGCACCATTTCAACGTTACTTTTATACATATTTTGTTGTTAAATGAGTAATTATTTAATATAATGTTTTTAATAAAATAAAGAAAAGAAAAATTTATTACAACAATTCAATCACAGTTTATTAATTAACAACTGGTGTTAGAGAAAAAAAAAACCTTTTTTAAATTAAGTAAAAAAAAAATATGCAAATTAAATGAAACAGAAAGAGCGAAAGAGAACACATGGCAACGGAATGAAATTCGGTCACTGACGACATTCAAAGAAGTGTTGGAAAAAAAATACAGTTAATACGATTTTGATCCTTCCGATAATTATTGATCAAACCGCACCATTCTACTGATATTTGTACATTATTTGTCTTTCTGATAACAAACTGAGTGAAAAAATATTCATTGAAAAACCATGTAGTTTATTAATAATTATGTAAATGCTGTACACACCGCTGGTATCGGACTATTGTCGTTGTTGTTGTTGCTGTTCTTGCCACTTACATGGTTGTTAACGTTTAGTGGGGACGTTTATTGCTCCCCATGAAGAACTAATTTCCTCTCCAGGACAATTGGCAGAGGGAATATTGCAGAGATGTGGCCCATCGGATAAAACCGAAGAAAGTCGAGGGAAGAGCAAATGTAGGGCAGAAGGAAGAAGATGGTTCTCAAAACCTTTTATTCTTTTTAAAACCTACGAAGGACAACATACCTTTGCACGCGAAAGCGATAGGTGGAACGGAGAGTAGACGGTGAAGAACCCCACAAATTTAGCGCCGTTTTTCAAGTAGGCTTACTCAAAACATTAAAATTGTATTACGCTGTTGACAAGACTGCTACCTTAACGATTTTCCAGCGATCAATAGGCATAAAAAAAACTGTGGCTTTTGTACAGCATTGTGTCACTGCTGTCGTTTGTAGTTATTACTCTTTTTTGAATTGAAAAGGTGACAACAACTTTGGAACATCAGACACCAAAAATATCAACGATGCAATACATATATGGACCATAATGCCAAAAGTTGACAAAACAAGCACCTATCCTCTATTGTAAAATTATTTAATTTTTTGTTTATCTAAGAGTATAGAAAAAAGAAGAAAGGAAGACATCTCAGATTGTATCAACAAATCAAAACCTTTCATTTGATGACAAAAAACGATGACAGCAACAGCGTTAACAGCTATCATTATCAGTATTTTTAGCAATAATTCTACTAAAATCTTTCTTCTTTTATCCAGCATTAAACTTTCATTTGTTTATTCTTTCTTTCTTTTTTTTTTTTTTGTTTGGTTTCTCTCAGACAGCACCTGGTAACTAAAGAAAACGACCGCAGCAATAACAATGAACCAATTCCCGCCTTGTCGTCTCTCCTGCCTTTTTTCCTTGGCTAAGCAAATGAAAATCATTTTAGGTAGTTTTTTAATTGTAAATATTTTGCTTTGTTGAGTGTTTCAGACAAAAAGTAGATTAATACAATTAGAAAATGTTTTCAAATTGATCAAAAGTGTGTAATCTTAAAATGAACTTTAAGTAATTGTTAGTTAACAACTACGTTGTACCATTTTTGAGTGGTCAGGAAATACGATCATCGTCAAATCAACGAGTTGTAAACACTGGTCATTTGAGTTCAATGAATGCAGAACTCAAAAATCTTCCAGAAACGTTTACCTAAGTTTAAACAGAACTAGCTAACGGAAGACTGAAACAGCGTATATTCAATACTTAGTACAATTGGTTATTCAGGCTGTTGGAAGTGTTGATCACGTAATGTGACAAGTAAAATCTTCTGTTTTTTCTTTTTTTTTTTTTTCAAGTCATCCTAGGCAGCAACAGCAAAAAATACCGCTCAATTACCATTTAAGATCACTTCACCATTAATTCGTTTATAGTTTATTATTATATGATTATTGCTGCTTCTAAATGTCAACAAATTTCCGACGTTAAACAATAAAACATTGCTGGCAGTGTTTTAACGAGAAAAAATCGAGAAAAACGGTAAACAACTATTAATCGTTGAACTTTCGACAGACGATCAAAAAAAAAAAGAAAAGAAATGGAAAACAGAATATTAATACATCACATAATCTGCTTCTGCTTTAAACAAATAAAAACTTAAGTATAACCCTCCCAAAATCAGTAGCAAACAGTTCCAATCCGATCATCGTGTATTCTCGTCAGCGAGAACCATGTACCCGGACTGTGAAATGTAACGCATCAGTGTTCACTGTCGACAATCAGTGACCTTCCGTAGTTTGGCACTTCTTTATTCAAAATCACCTTTCATTTATACAGATAGTATTACGAAAGCAATTCGTACTTTATACTGACTTGTTATTTGTAGAGAGTTATAAAGCTGCAGGAAGAAAAAGCAGATCAAATACACCATTTAGCAGCAATAATTTGACAGCAACGAAGATGTTTTTAAACAGTTTCAAGTTTTCGCTTTGTACATATCAGGCAACCACACATTTATTATTCTTGCGTTTAGAAGGTTTTGAGCGGAGTTTGGAAGACTTTTTAATCATTCCATGATCAATCATACTGTAAACCATTTCGATTATTGACTTCCTCGGTTCTCTATATCTCATTTTCAGCAATTTCACCGACTAAAACATTTTCAATTTTACGTGCTAGTTAATACCTTTTTAAAATACTCAAGCATTTAGCATATCCTTTCTGTTTCTACGTGTTAAAAAAATTAACAACAAAAGTAGCCTTATTTTCATAGCTTTCTTGTTCTGTAGTATTCTGGTGAAGATAACTGATAAAATTTACCAATGAATTATCAAAAATAATTTCTGGCCCCAATCGATGTTTGATCGCTTCAGCTTGCGGATCTAGTTTCGTCTTTATATACAGACGAAACATCCAATTAGGAGCAACAACAGGCGTTATACTATAACCTAAGAAAATCAAATTTAAAGCACAGAGCTAGTGGTGAAAATTAAACGTCGAAACACAGCAAGG